CACGAAAACTATTAATTTCCAGCTTCCAAAGCATGTCCCCTCGCAGTATATATATATATCAGAGGTCCTTGGGCTAGATGCATGCAAGCACCTCAGTTTTGAACTCGAGGATGTTTGTGTTTTTTCAAGCCTGGAGATGTAACATAAGTAAACTCATTCTGGAGACGGTTATTTTATTCATCAAACTGACAATAACCACTCACCGTATGGACCTAGACCTCTCAAAAGACCCTGCGAGTTCGTCTTCGTTGGAAGTTTAGTTTGTGTTTTTTTTAGTCGTGGTCGGTGGGGTCGGTGGATGTAAGTGGTAAGTGATTCGCCTCTTCTGTGATGTGTTTTGTTGCTGTGTAACAAAATGTCACCGTGGTGGTGGACTGCTTTGTGGTGGACTGCTTGGTTTACATTTTTGTAGCCTGATGGGCCATCAAATAATGTTCTGGGTGAACCTGATATGGATTTGTTGTACATGTGCACTCGAAACTCGCCTAGTGTGCATGTATTTTGCCTCTGTCATAACGGTGAATGGTCCTCAACAACTACTGACATGAAAATCCTCACTGACTCCATGAACTCAAGGGGGGCGTCGTCTGGACCAAACAGATCCAAACACTCCGGAAGTCAGATTCACCCTACATGGGGATGGAAAAGGGCTCAATGTATATAATACCAGGATCATCCAATGGGTCTCCAGACAGGGCACCCGTTGGAAGTGCGTTTGGTAGGTGAATATAGGTGCAACAAAGTCTTTTCTCCGTACAGGACCGAGTCTCTTTCACAGCCGAGTCACGCACGTGTTCTTTCACGGCGCCGTGGACAGTGGACGTACTCACTCCCCGCGACAGGAGATCTGTGTTCCGCAAGGCCAAGCCTGTGACTTGGCTGTGCACGTGGCCGACGCCAGTCAGACTGAAGATCGTGCTGAATTCGATTCAAGCTCTTCTTGGGCAGCCTGGGACTGGGATGATCATATCTTCCATAACTTCTATATGCTTGATCAAGGTCTCCACGTCATGTAGGGTCTTGTGCCACTGTCTTTTTTGTGGGCAAGAATTGTCTTCCCAGCTGCCTTTCAGAAAGTTCTTTGGTTTGCTGCGCAGTGACAGAATTGTTTTAAGCTTTGGTCAGAGTTGCTCACCACTTAAATCACTGAAGGCGAGTTATTAGTATTTTGAGGTTGTTATCCTCCAGCCCAGTCAGTGGATAACCTGTAATCTTTTTTGGGGGACACCCACTCAAACCCAACAGGTGCAAAACAGGCACCTGCACGAAGAGAGGTCAGTCAGTCCCCCAAGGTCAGTCAGGCCATTTGTTCGGTTTCACCGGCGGTCCAAGGTGACTGTTCCAAGGGGCAAAATGCGTTTGCTTGTACCTGGAACGATCCGATTCTTGGCGACTTCCGATTCTTCAAGGTGACACATCGGTGGTATGGGAGAACGACACATCGGTGGTATGGTGATGTATCACAATGAGAACGACGGGGCCTGGCTATAAATTTGCCTATATAACTGGCCCATCTTAGATGCAGGGTATTCTACATGGTAAAAGCTGTTTGAGGAATTCCTTTTGGGGGCGGTGAACTATGATATATATATATATATATACATAATAAGTATATACACTCCCTGGAATCATACTGCATGGAAGTGGAAAACCACCTGTTTGTAGAAGAAAATTGTAATGCAAGGGGCCATGGAATACACTTCACTGATTGTTCCAGGGAGTGTGTATATATCTATATTAAGAGCCAAAATCACAAGTGGAACCAGAATATCCTTGAAGTGGAGAGGGTGCCATTCTCAGAACTTGAGCCAATTAATGGAAAGTTAGGATTAATAAACCTCCCCTAGTCAATCCGAGCCCACAAAGCCGCCGGAAATTGGCCAAAAATAAAAGTATTATTCGCTGTTGATTTCCCCCCCCTATTGTTTAATTTTCTACCAACAACCCCGCCAGTTAATCCGAGCCCACAACCAGGTCAATTTTTCGTATTACTACTACTACTACTACTACTACTACTACTCCTGCTGCTGCTGCTGCTACTACTCCTGCTGCTGCTGCTGCTGCTCCTGCTACTGCTACTGCTACTAGCTATTGCTGCTGCTGCTGCTGCTGCTGCTCCTGCTCCTGCTACTGCTACTGCTACTGCTACTGCTACTGCTACTACCACGACCAACACCACCACCACGACCATCGCCACCTACTACCTACTACATGTTTGATGAAATCCTTAAAAATGTCTAGGGCTCAGGGCCTATAAATTGCCTTATTAAAAAACAATTAAAAACAATCATTTGACAAGCTCACAAAGGGTACCCCTCACAAGGGCCGGTCCCCCATCAATAATCTGCACTACTACCCCCTATTAATTTGATCCTGTGTCCCTGGTCTTTTCTTTGTGCTTGTTTAAACTTGTTGTGACTACTACTACTACTACTACTACTACTACTTCTACTACTACTTCTACTACTACCTACTACCTACTACCTACTACCTACTACCTACTACCTACTACCTACTACGACCTACGACCTACGACCTACGACCTACGACCTACGACCTACGACCTAC